CTTCACTAATGCAATGGGCAGTCATTGTGTCCAGGCCGCAGGCTGGTGGTGATCAGAAGAACTGGTCAAGACATTCCAGGTTAGGGCCTGGGGTTGGATTAAATGCCCCTAAATGTCCTTTCCAGCTGTAGAACCTCAGCACGACGCCTTTTATGTAGCTGTGCTTGTGATAGCTAATTGTCACAGCCACTTCCTGGCATTATTTACATTCCATTTACCTGATGTGCTATATTGACCCTATAAACTCTATTGAGCCTTGATTATTATGATGATTTTAATTCATTCTCACAGCTCCTTACTTTACAAGGATTAAGAGCTTGTAAACATTGATCCAAGTGCTTTATTAACTTCAAATTAACTGGTTGAGTATATGTGTTTCTAAGCACTGTCATAAGCCTTTATAGATTTTTTTCATTTATGCTCATTTAACTGACACATGTCTATGAGTCTGGGAAATTATTTAATGTCCAGAGAGGTTAGAAAGTGACAACTCCTAGTTTTTGCTTTTATTTTTAATGCAATTTGATGTTCAAGGAGCCATACTAATGTCCTTATAGTACACAGGTGTCACAGGACCCTGACCCTTAGCATTGATACAACCCTTATCAATGTTATCTTAGAAAGGCAAATGTTTTCGGTGAGATAAAATGTGCTTTGAAAAGGTTTATTGCTTCCCTTAGTTATTTTTTAGATTCTTGTTTAGGTTTAAAAATTCTTAGTGGTTCTCCAGGGCCACCCAATATCTCAGTCACAAAGGGACAAATACTGCATGGTGCCACTGTTGTAGAATGGGTCTGACATTAGGGTGGGGGTATGACAGAAAAAAACTGGATAAATTATGTATATTGTATTGAAACAGATGACGGAAAGAACAGATTAGAGTTGATATATGATTGAGTATTATGGTTAGCACAGGCATCCAGAATTAAGGTTGCATAGAGAAGTGTACTCCGGGTGGGGGTTGGGGGCGAGGGGACGTGGGAATTGTATACTAACGAAGAAATTTTTTTTCTCTTCGGAGGGGGAAGCAAGCTGGTGGGGAGGGGTGGGCAGGGAGAAAAGTTCGGCAATGAATGAATGGAAATCCAAAACCTCTGTAAATGTCTATTAAAATTAATAATGATAATAATAAAAAAATTAAAGGAAAAAATTCTTAGTGGTTTTAAAATGAGTTGTCCGCTTCCGGTAAAAAGGAAAAGAAAAAAGTGGATTTATGAGGAAAAATGAAAAGGTTGGTTACAGGCCCTTGTAATGACTTTCTGACTTGATGAGGGTGTGAGGGAGGGCCTGACGGTCACAGGTGAATTTAGTCGCTGGTTTAGAAACTTCTTTGGAGGTGGAGGTAGTTTAATTCTTCTGTGAAAGCTGTCTAGTCTAATGACATCTACTGCAGTAAATAGTTATTAATTCTGTTTTGGTTCACATAAAGCCATCATGTCAAATACATTCTTATGAAAGCTACCATTAGATACAAAAGAGGCTAATTTCTTTCTTCAAAACACAGTTCAATTTCTTTGAAAAACAGATCACACTTCACATGTCTAATTGATACAAAAAAAGTTCTATTTTTAAAATAACTATTGAACTAAAAATTAAAGAGAATTTAATTTCCTACCTCAGAAATATTACTATTCTTATGATCAAAGATTTGAAATAGTCCAGAGCCACTAAATACCCTTGTTACTATGGATAATTTTATATTCCTGAAGCAGTAAATCTTTTCTACTATTTTAATTCCAAAGCATTACATCTTTTCTGTTAAGCTGAATGATATGAAATTGCTGACACTCAGCCAGTTAGGACCTTCCAAATGGCAATCTCTTATGGCTCCATCTAATAGTACCCCTTCTGTGCCTACTTTATAAATAGTAACCATGTGGTCTTGTTGAAGCAATGCCACATTCCCTGGCATGTGCAATCATGGTTCTCCATCCCAGTAATTTGTCATATGCCTGTACTTGTTCAATGTCAGGAGTGTCAATTCAATTACATAACTGCCTGGATTGTATTTATTTATTTTCTTATTTTCCTTCATTTGTATTTTTCGTGGTCTTCAATGCTAAGAACAATTGATAGTTCTTCTAACACTGTTTTCACTACCAAACACATACAATTACTTGTTGTGTATATATGCAAGATGACATGGAATAGGAAAATGTTCAGATTGGCTGTTCAAAGGGTTGCTGTGAGTCATCCTCAATAGCACCTAACAACAACAACAACAACAACAATACATATACATTTACAAATCTACATAGATATAGTTGTTGTTGCTAAGTGCTAACCACCACTCATAGTGATCCTACGAATAATGGATCTGAACCCTGCCCTGCCCGCCATGTTTATCATCCCTGACACACTCGAGCCCACTGTTACAGTTACTATGTTGATCTATCTTGTTGAAGGCTTTCCCCTTACACACACACACACACACACACACACACACACACACACACACACGTTGTTGTTGCTAGATGCTACTGAGTTGAGTACAACTCATAGAGACTCTATAATAGACCTGATCCCTGTCCTTTCTTGTGCTATCCTTATTATCCCTGACAAACTTGATCCCACTGCTGTAGACACTGGCACTCTATCTCACTGGGGGGATCTTCCTCTCTTTTGCTAACCCTCCACCTTTCCAAGGAATAGCCTTTACTAGCAACATGTTCAAAGTATGAGAGATGAAGCTTTGGCATCTTGGTCTCCAAGAAACACTGTGGCTGTGCTTTTCCCAAGACATATATGCTTGTTCTTTTGGATGTCCATAGAATAGTCAGAGCTCTTCCAGCATCACAACTAAAAGGCATCAATAACTCTTCTGTCATCCTTATTCATTGCCCAGCTTTCAGATGCATAGTAAGTGACTGAAAAGGCCATTGCCTGAAGCAGACACACCTTAGTTTTCAAACTGATATCAAACTGACACGTAATTTGCAGAGGTTCTTGACTGCACACTTCCCCAGTACAATACGTCTCCTTGTCTCCTCACTGCTGGAACCAAGTATGTTGACTGTGGGTCCAAGTAAGATGAACTCATTGATAGTTTTGATCTTTTCTCCATCTATCATGCTGTTACATAATGCCCCAATGCCGAAAATCTTTGTTTTATTAAGAAAAGTGTGCATCAGGAATGTATCCTTTCTCCATACCGATTCAATCTGTATGCTGAGCAAATTATTTGAGAGGCTGTACTCTATGAAGAAGTATGTGGCATCAGGATCGGAAGAAGACTCATCAATGACTTATGTTACGCAGATGTCACAACCTTGCTTGTTGAAAGTGAGGGAGACTTGACACGCTTACTGCAGAAGATCAAAGAATACAGAGTTCCTCCTCCCTCCCCTTGTTTTTAAGCAAATTAAGATCAGTAAAATATTACAATATGACTAGCTTGAGTGACTTCAACTCAACAGTTCATTGCTGTCCAGAACCAACTTATAGCTGACCCTCCATTGGGCATTCAGAGGCTGTAAGTCACAAAGGAGGCTACCGCCCATTTTTCTCCCAAGGAACAGCTTGTGGATCCAAACTGCTCGCCTTTGGTTTGGTAACACAACTCCTAAACTCATTAGGCAAGCAGAGGTCTCTTTGTTTTACTTACCATTTTGTATTTCCCAGACCGATGGTTACATTTGGAAAGGGAAATCATTTATAAGCTGGAGAAGGGAGGAAGAGTGGCATTCTCGACATGGAAGCTTACTGGTTCCCCATCAAGGATGGATAAGTGTAGGATAAAGTAGCTTTAAAGCCAAGAACACCCCAGGGATCTCATCAACTACTGACCTACATGTGCAAAGGGCCCTATGATGAACACGGTGAAAATGAAAAAAAATTTTTTTCAATACTCTTCATTTCTTTTCCCTTCTTGGAAAGTGACATGTTTGAAAAGATGGACCACTAGTGAAAGAGAGAGAGGAAGATCCTCAATGAGGTGAATTGACACAGTGACTGCAGCGATGGGCTCAAATGTATCAGAAATAATGAGGATGGCACAGGATAGGGCAGGGTTCAGATCTGTTGTTCACACAATTACTATGAGTCACATTCTACTCGATGGCACACAACAATAACAGTAATCCCACTTCTGCTCCAAATCCCACTAACTCATAGAGGAAAAGAATCTTCAATCCAACCAACCACCAACCAATCAGTCAACCAAATGATGTTAATGTATTTCATGGTCTTCAGACTCTGGAACCAATGGGCTCACAATGAGGCATTTCTGGGAGCACTGGCTCTGCCTGCAGGCTGCCTGAGCTGACGGTCACAACATTCACCATAGAGAAGGTCACTCAAGTTGGATGCTGAAATTCTTTTATATGGTGTAATTGTGCTCGTGGATTAATCTTTATTGGTCAGGACTTTGATATTCTTAGATATCTATCTATCTATCTATCTATCTATCTATCTATCTATCTATCTATCTATCATCTTCTATATATCACGTGTCTCTTTGCTAAGTGGCTAAAGGAACCTTAAGGTCTCATTCAAAGCTGCTACTCTATCATTCTGCTTACAGACTTTAGGGCAGAAGTAAATTAAAGAATATTAGATTTCCTGAAAAATCTCTCTTCCTAACCACCTAGTCTCCTATTCCCACTACAGTTTTTAGGTTTTGGGGGGAAAAAGCAACAAAAGGACCTGTGAGGGTCTCTTAACTAAACAGCATGTTACTTTTCAGTTCATGAGATAATGAAACATTGGACAGTTTTTAACACTTGTTTAAAACCAACACATTTTTGGCAGGTGGCTGTTGTTTTTAATTAGATTTTTTAAATGCTTTCTACAAGATATCAGTTTCCTTTGGCCTTTTATTTTTAGAACAAAAGTCGTCAAAGGGGATAGGAGCTATTACTGGATGGGAAAATAAGAACTTGTAGGGCATTAGGAAGGTATTTACAACTACTTTAGTCATTCAAACAAGATAATTCTAGAAAGAGAGAAAGGCCAGATAAAGCCATTCAAGTGTGACATTCCATTAGTTGGTGATATTATACCTGCAGCCAATAGGTTTGGAGAACTCTGAACTCTCTTCACAGATGTTAACGTGACAGACATGGCAGCGCGTTTGCGAGCACACCCACCGCTATCTGGAAGCAAAAACATGATATAGCAGAGGCCAAGGCAAAGAAAAAAGCACATGCAACATCATGCAATTCAAGCGGAACGTGCCCGACATTCATGACAAACATGAGCAGAAAAATTAGTAACCCTGGAGACTTATGCAAATTTCACTCCACCCCCCAAGCTAAAAGAAATCAAACTAAATTAAAAAAAATGCCCAGGGGCCTGCCCTAGGAATAGATTAAAAAGCTTTAGTAAAAGAGTTTTTAAATTGACATTTATGAATCAACTTTAATGACAGAAGCACACGGCTATCTTTGTATATACTATGATTGACTTAATTCACAGTATACACCTATAAACCGTGCCTAGTTTCTACAGTTAGTGGATACTGGGGAGTTATGCACTTTTTAGGATTAAAAGCTATGGTATGATATACTTTGTTGTAGGTTTTACTATATTCTAGATATTATGGTTCTTGAAATAACTCCTGAAGTTGGTTACTAACTGGTGGAGACACAGTGCTTTCAGCACACAGAACTCATAAGAAAACACATCTTTGTAGATTTTCATATCTTCCCATAGTATAATTATAGAAATGGTCAGCTCAATTTATATCAAAAGCAGGCTGATAAATATAATATTGCAATGACCATTTAATGGAAATAATTTGTTTTTATGCATTTGGACAATAAGTACATTATGTTCTATACAATTATACTTATGTAATACAGTCATAAATGAAGTAAAAGAAATGAAAATGCATAAGCCATTTAATGTCCTATGAGAAGTTTGAGTAGGAAGACTTCTAAAATTGGAAAGTTAGTGTTCTATTTATGAATAAATTCCTATTCCATTCCCACATTCCTTTGTCATATGGCATGTGCAAGAAATAGTTTTGCTTATTCCCCTGGAGTCAAAGCAACTAAAATTTAATCCTTCTTAAAAGTCATGACAAAAAAAAAAAGGAAAAAAAACACCACCAAAAAAACCCACCAAAACCCAAAAGTATAACCACTAATATCGTAACATAGCCATTACATATTGTTATAAATTATTCCCATTTCCCCCCTACTTCTTAGGGAGAAGTATCCATTTTGTTTCTTGAACAAGAGTAAATTTAGTACAGATGTCTCCTAGGATGATTTAAATAATTTGTTGGTAAAGAAAAAAAAAATCACAAGAAGTCTTGAAAAATGACATAATGGTTTGTTTATCAAAGTACATTTTCAGTCCAAGGTAATAATTTCCACAAAACATTAAGTACATATAATGTGGGTAATAATTAGCACAGGAAAATAAGTTGAATCAATATTAAATGGGAATAAGTCAAATGAATCAAAGGCTATATAATTTAAGAACCAAAAGATAAAGACATAAATGGTGGAAACTTAGAACATAAACCGGACTGATGAGAGATATTGATAGCATTTTTATAAACTCTATAAACTGAAAATAGCTAAGAGCGACAAGTGCATCTGAGAAGACGGGGGTAAAGCTATTGAGTATGTCATTGAAAATGGCAGCTACTGATGGTCTAAAAGGGCTGTGTAGTCAGGGCTGTGGGAAGTGAAAACTGACACTCCTTTAAGAGAGATCCTATTTTCTAGCTCTTTTCATTCTGAACATCTGAAAACAAGCAATGGGATGAAAAGAGAAAATTCCAGGAGGAGAGATCGCTAGTTAAAACCAAAGTCCCTGTTGTTTGGGCTGAGGTGCCCCTAACCACCTCCATGAATTCACAGGGGTCTCAGGTGGTATTTTACATTTTTGAAGAAAACGTCGCTATCTGTCTAAGGTTGCATTGGTTACTAGGTCCAGGCAGTTTCCAATTTTAACCTAATAGACTATGGAACACTCCCTCATTTTTAAATTAATTTTTATAATAATAATAATACCTTTGACGTTGATTTTGTTTTTTCTCTCATAAAGTCACTAAAGATATCTCACTTAAAAGATACTCCACTTTAATTTCTCTCTTATCCTTTTTTATTTTTTTTAGCTTGTATCATGATTTGAGTGAAAGTCTATAGAACAGACTGTTGTGTTCCATACAACAACAACTCGCACTCTTTTTTTATTATACTGATTACAATTTCGACATGGCATCTGCACTCTTGCCAAGAGCTCTCTGTGGTTGTGTCTATTCATCCATCCATCCTTTCCCTTCCTGTCTTCTGAGTTCATTCCTGGTCTAGTGCTGCCCTTGTGATCATGTGTGGTTGCTGGTTCTAAGCACCAAGGACCTCCCTGGTGTTACTGTTCACCTGATGGATCTGTCTGTGGTTGGGACAAAATTTGTATCAAAGAGTTGAGTTCAGGTCCAAGCCCAAAGGATCAGGGTTTCTGCAAATGGCAGGCACAGAAAGATGGGCAGTAGGTTGCTTCTGTTTCTATATAAGATCAAAGGATTGTTGCTTTTTTTAGGTGTCATCAAGTTGAGTATGACTCGCAGCAACCCTATGAACAAAGGATCTGAACCCTGTTCTATCCTGCGCCATCCTCACACTTTCTGACACACAAGAGCCCACTGAAGCAGTCACTGACTGTGTCAATCCACCTGAATGAGGGTCTTCCTCTCCTTTGCTGACCTTCTACCCTTCCAGGCATCATGTACTTGAAATAGTACCTCTTAGCAACATGCCTAAAGTATGTGAGGTGAAGCTTCACCATGCTTGCCTCCAAAGAGCACTCTGGCTGCTGCACCCTCTCCAAGACATATCTGTTAGTTCTCTTGGCTGCCCACAGGATGTTCAGAGCTCTTCTCCAATACCCCAACTCAAAAGGGTTAGACATTGTTTTTCATCACTAGTTAATCTTCCTCTAGGTTTTTCAACAAGAGTCAGCAGAAAGCTTTCCAACTCCATGTGAGAAAATACCTTGAACCATCCTTCTTTCTTTGCCACAGTAAGGCTTGCTAAAAGAACTTTCCGCTGATCTTTACATATAAGATAGTATTTCCAAATAAATGAAGCAGTCAATGAGAAAGTAGTTTTACATATCTACTTAATAATAAACATAAACATTACAGAGGTGGGAACAGAAGTAAAACTACAAAGCAAACTATTTCTCCTGGGGCAAAATTGTGTATTTAGCATGTTGTTGTTGTTGATTGCCATTGAGTAGAGAATGACTCATGGCGACCCTATGAACAAAAGGCCTGAAGCCTTCCTGTAACTATCTCATTTCTCAAAGTTCATAGAGTTTCCAGAGGCATGTTGTTTAGGAAGTGGATGCTGCTCCTGCTTCCACAACAGAAATTTTGTATCTATGTACATTGCAGAGTTCGTATTGTTTTGCTACTTGGGATTCTTTTCACATCTGAAAATATAATGCTTGTGAATTTATGTATATGCTCGCTGCATAATAATAAGGTTGGTCTCCATCTGACTCCTTGTTAAACATAAAGTTTCCATGTTCATTAGCACAACATTTGATAACATAAAAAAATCCTCATACTTTATTTCCCTGGTGGAAATGTTTTATAGAATGATAAACATTAAATACTTGCCCCTTAGAACAACTTGTCTTAGAATTTAGTCCATTTTCTGCAGGGGATTTTCTTATGTGTGCACACAAATGACATATCACTTCTTAGGATTTATAAGAATGAATTTTGCAATATGATTAGACATAAAGGGAGTTAAGATTAGATAACCAAACAGAAGAATCTGCTTTTGATGACTCTCAGGTTAGAATACAAAGACAGGAAATAAGACTGTAAATCTAGGGTACATGTCTAATCAGAGACTCTAATCAGAACTACCACCTTTAAAATCAGCAGAGTGTTATTCTAATGATTTGGGGCCAAGATGATTTTTAGAGAGCAAGTTTGAAGAGTTTATAACTAACAGAGACATCATACCTGTATTCATTTTGACCTTGGAGGGGTTGTTATTAAAATCTTCAGTTTTCCTGTGGAAAAAAAATGATGCATTAATTTGTTCACTAGTATGTGGCACAAAACATCATCAAAGCATGGTTTTTACAGTGTGTGTGTGTGTGTGTGTGTGTGTGTGTGTGTATCTGTGAATTAATATTGCATTAGCATTAGTTTCATTGTAATCTTGGCTTAATATGGTAGGCAGAATTTATAATTATATTCAAATTAAGATTTAATCATCATATCACTGTTAGGGTATGGTCCAGCTGATTTGACTCATATTGATGCTATGTCACGGGGTACAACTATCCCACAAGGTTTTCTTGACTATAAATTTATGGAGATTGCTAAGTCTTGCACCAGTGGGTGAATTTGAACCACCAACATTTCCAGTTATAAGCTGAATGCTTAACCATCTGTACCACTAGGACCCTTTCCTATTATCATAGACCTGTGATTTTGTTTAATGTTAACCAATACAGATGGAGATGGTAAAGAAACAAATGTTGAGGAAACTTAATTTAAAATACTAAAATTTTCTTTCACAAACATTTATACTAATTGTTTTTGTTCACTAATTGTTTGTGTCTTCATGCAAAATTTTAAAAGATATACTGGTACTTTTGAATGTACCATGGACTGCCAGGAAAACAAACAGATTCATCTTGGAGAGGATTAAACCAAGCTGTTCCTTGGAGGCAAGGATTCTGGGGCTTCATCTGACATACTTTGGACATGTTGCCAGGAGGGACGGGTCCTTGGAGAGGGACATCATGCTTGGGAGGGTTGAGGGACAGCGCAGGAGGGGAAGACCCTCTATGAGATGGATGGATTCGGTGACTGGGGCAATCGGGATGGGTGTGTCAGAGGCGGTGCGGTTGGCGCAGGATAGAGCAGGGTTTAGAGCTGTTGTGCATAGGGTCTCTATGAGTCGGAAACGACTCGACGGCACATAACAACAACAACAACAACTGGTACTTTAGACCTTTACTTTGTATGTATGGATCAATTTATTTTGAGGGAATAGTTGATGCATTTAAGGCACATTTTGAGGACACAGTAAAGACAAATGATATTAATTGCTATTTTTTTAGAGAATTTTAATGATTTCTTTGGATGTGCTAGCAACAGGGGTCTGTCCCAGAAGCAGGAAATTATGTTTAGAAAGGCAGAGAGTCAATGAAGAAGAAGAAGATCCAGAAAGAGATGGGTGGTCATGGCTGAAACAATGACCTTGAACACAAGGGAGATTGTATGATGTGGCAGGATTGGACAATGTTTCATTCCTTCGTACACAGGGTCCCTTAGAGTTGACTGGATGATACACAACAAACCCAACAATAGAAGAAAACCACTTCTGCTTTATTATCAAATATTGTGTTTTTTCCCAATAAAGCATTTTAGTTTGATCCATGGCAACTAGGACTAATTTATCATAAATGATTAGCAGAATGGTGCCTGTCCTAGGAAAAACATTTTCCCATTTCTTTATTATTTATATGTGAGAGAATTTTACTCTTTCCCTGGCACATGTCATAGCCTAGTTTTTTTAGTTTCTTATTTATAAATATCCTAAGACCAAAGAGGAATGACATGCTCAGAGAGGAAACAAATCTTGTAAGAACAAGAGATTTCTGAAAGGGATGTCTACCTTGGCCACTTCTCCTCTGCTCCTGAGTAGGGCCCATTAGATTTCCACAAGAACTTTCTCAACACACCACATTGACAATTTGATACATTAGTACTCTGCCATTTAATTATTTTACAATATTTACTTAGCCCTTGTATAAAGGGGATGAGCAGGGGTAGAGCTGATGTGAAATTATCAACTGTCCCTGGGTGATGCAAATAGTTAAATGTTCAACTACTGTTCAAAGATTGATGACTGGTACCTACCTACAGGTAACTAGGAAGAAAGAGCTGGAGAGAAGCTTCTAAGAGATAATAGCTAGAAAAAATAATCCAGTAGACTAGATATACTCTGCACACAGAGTTGTAATCTGTGATAACAAACAAGTATGCTTTAATTTAAAAAGGCTCTACAAAGAATATCAGAGGAGCTTTCTGGCTTTCTAGGCTTTCTAGGCTTTGCTGAAGTGTGACTGTTCTCCTGTGTGTGTACAGTACTGTAATAAAGTAGCATAAAAAACACACTTAAAAGGGATATTATTATGAACAGAGTGAATAAGGATCTTTTTTCCTTTGTTTTAACCTAAATTTAATTACTTTCCTTGATAATAAATACCAGGTAGTAATAAATATAATAGATGGATAAAGTTATAGAACTTCTGCCATTCCAATTTAATTTTTAGAGCTATAAACTGAAAGCAATACAGATGATTTCCATAGGCGTCCAATTTGCAGCCCTGACTGTGCTATCCTCTCCTCCATCTGCCTGGCCACAGTATTTTCAGGTAGGAGCAGGGGCGCACAGATCGTGCATAGAAGCCCCCATGGCCAGGACTTCATTTTGTTTCAGTGAACTTTACAAGAGAATTTCTCAGGTCAATTGATTTTAAAAATGTAATTGAAGGAAGCTTTGTTATGACTAATTTTACTTCTTATTTTTCAATGGAATCAAATAGAGATATTTTCTGTCTTCCTCCTCCTTCACCCACCCCAACACACACACACACACACACACACACACACACACACAGAGAAAATGTGACACATTTCTAAGAAACATTCCTTGGTAACCTTACTACTGCCTGTACTGAAGGGATGCCAAAGAAGTCAAAGAAGGCAGTGGTCAGCTCAGGAGCCTTGAGAAAGCTCTTTCAAATGTATTTATTTTAATCTCTCGGTAGCCAACCCCCTAATATGTTAACCTTAAATGGATAAAATAAATGGAAAAGAAAACCCTCGGGGGATGTGTGTGACCATGGCTGAGGAGGCAGCTTCTAAAACAAGAAGGGATAAACAATCTAAAGAAATTTAGGACTGTAAGGATATTTCTCAAATTCTCCTTCAGTATTTCTTTCAAAACTAGACACCATTTTATGTCTAAAAGCTCTGGTGGCTTAGGGGTAAGGAGCTGTGCTGCCAATCTAAAGGTACATGGTTTGAACCCTTCAGTTGGTCCCTGAGGAAAAGATGGACAATTGCCATCTGTGTGATTAACAGCCTTTGGAAACCCATTGGAAGGTGAGCTATGAGCAATTATGACTCAATGGCACCAAACAACGACTTATGTTTCAAAACGGAACAACAAAGATAGTAATTAAAATAACGCTAAATGAACAAGAAAACATCCAAGATAGAAAGAAGGTTAATTCTCAGCATATGAAAGTTGCTAATATGAAAGAATAAATGTTTTTTACATTAAGTTAGGGAGCAACTTATTGTTTGAACACAACCTATTACTAGTAGAATAATATTAACAAGAACAAACAAAAGCTCCATAAATACTTGAATTTTTTGTGATGCATCCTGTTACCTAGAAATGTAATTTGTGAGAAGTTCCCCCCTGCCCCATCTTCTTCTTCTTCTAACTTCACATTGTTTTAAATGTCAGAATGTGAAATGACGAACTTCCTCATCAGGCAAGACACGTTCCAAGTTGTTAAAAGAGGAGCCGCAGTGACTGAGCTCTGAGAAGAACCTGAAACTGGCAGATTTCTTAGGGGACTATTGAAAAGGCATGACTCTATTCCCATTATTTTACTAAAGCCATTAACAAATCCATGACTGAAAAACCCTCTTTCGACATTTTAAGCTCAAGTGAAACCAATCCCCTTTGTCCTTTTCTGAAAAAGTGTCTTTGATGGTGCTTACATAACAAGCACAGATTATTCTGGAAAGCATCAAATTCCTAGAGTGTTTTTCATGCTCCTAGAGGGGACAGTATTTCAAGTATTCTCTTAAATTGGAATTGAACCAGAGCCAAGACTATTAAAACTTATTATAAATACCTTGAACCTCAGCAGACAATCCATAGAGCAAACAATTCTGTGCAGTAGGGGACGTGAAGCTATAGTTACTGAAGTTTAGTTATTGCCAAAACTTTATACAAAAGGGAACTTCATATGTAGTATAATTTGTATGTAACAATGAATTTGCTTTTCTCATGGATCAGAACTGCCTTCATTTCCAACATAACAGCTTGTATTGGCTCTTCAGGCATGGAGATCAACATAGTTTGTGCTCTTAGCTATGTAATTGAGCCCAAATGTCTTTCAATGATCAAGACTCCCGTTGTAAAGACCAGAGGTAAAATACTTTGTCTAGTTTTCGACAAAGGATTCTGTGTAAGTAATTTATTTTTTTAAGACTTGAATCAAAGTACTAAAGCCAGCTATAAAAATATAGAGCTAGGAAAAAAAAACAAACTGGCTTTCAGGGACCAGGGCATTGTCTCCTTAATCAGACTGTGACAGGATTAGTAGTATTCATAAACCTCAAATTATCAATTATCATTAATTAACCTCATATCTGTTGCTGACGTTTATCTTCAGGTTTCATTCATTTGTGTGGCCACGAGCCAGGCACGCTGACTCTCTAGCATTTAGCAACAACAGGACAACATTTGCTTTGAAATGCTCACAGTAAATAATATTGTTTATTTAGTTCTTCAGGGAGCTTGGGTAGCCTAGTGGCAAGTGGCTGCATTGCAATTCTGAAGGCATATGGTTCAAGGCCCCTAAGTGCTCCGCGGAAGAAGGATGGACAATCTCCTCCCGTGTGATTAACTGCCTCTGCAAACCCACCAGAGGGTCAGCGATGGGTCGGTTCCCATTCTACAGTCCTCCTCCTCCTCGTCCTCCTCCTCCTCCTCTTCGTCTTCCTCCTCCTCCTCCTCTTCCTCCTCCTCCACCACCACCACCACTACCACCACCACCACCACAACATTTAGTTCTTTATCTTCTTTGACTTTCAAATGCTAAAACTCCAACTCAGCCTGTTTACTGAATGGTTTCTCTGAATTGGTAGCTTATACATAAGAAGCTCTGGGAGTATGATGGCTAAATACTCGGCGGTAGCCTTTCTGGTAAAAGTTACAGCCTTAGAAACACTGTGGAACAGTTCCGCT